CCCACCCTTGGTGGCTCCCTGTCCCTGTAGGCAACACCCAACCTAATGGCAGGTGGCAGATGTGAGCTGAGGAGGCATTCCCTTCAGAGGAGACCATTCACCGCAGTGAGCTCTCCACTGCAGGAACCGGGACGTGCGGCCTGGCCTGGTCCTCAGCACCTTATGAAGTGCTTGAGCGGTGCACTTGGCTTTGCGATATTGATTACGCCAGTGGTCGCCAACCGGTGGTCCGGACCACTGGGGTCCGTGAGGTCCGAAAGGTTGGTGACCGTTGGGTTAAGGAAACCTTTGGACCAGTGGTCGCCAACCAGTGGTCCGGACCACTGGGGTCCGTGAAGTCCGAAAGGTTGGCGACTGCTGGGTTACGCAGACAGCAGGGTGCCACGGCAGGTGTTCAGCCAGACAGCCTCTGCCTGTTTCCAGCAGAGGTGACCTTGTCCCTGCAGACTCCAGCCTGGAGATCATGGCAGCAGACACATGCCCCAGAGGAGGGGAAACATGCCTGATGCTGTCAGGCACAGCGTGTCCATCTTAAATAATGACTCTCAGTGCCATCCCTGCTGCAGACTGAGCGTTGTCTCCATTCCAGGATATTTCCGTGTGTGTCTCCTGGGGGTGTTCCCAAAATGTGTGTCACTGGAAGTGGTGAATCTGGACACTTCCCATGTCCGTTTCTTATTGGCAGTGGTTTGGCATCCACTTGACATCTGTCGTGGACGGATCCATGGAGGGCACGATCCAGTGGAGGGGGTTGTGGGACGCAGAGCACGGTGTGCAATGGCGCGAACGTTGCTGGCGTCCCTCTGAAGGATCTGAACTCGGTACAGGAAAGGAGAGAGCTCCTGAGAGTGGGCGTGTGCACCAGAAGTGGCTCCCTGTGGCTGGGGGGTGGAAACGAAAGGCACCCTAACTCGGCTGCCGGCCCCTCTCCAGCTCAGTGACGGGAAGCATCGTAAAGAATTGGAGGAGAGTGCATGGGGCTTCCACTGGGAGTAAGTGTCCTGGGAGAGAATGGTACTTCGGCCCCACCTCAGAAAGGTGATGCTGACCCCTGGCCAGGAGGCTCCTCTGAAAAAGTGCAGAGAGACTTGGGGAAATACTGAAGGAGCTCAGATTTAACGTTATTTAAACGTACTGTTCTGAGCGTACTGAGGAGACAGTAGTACAGGGTTATACACCAAGCATTTGACTGAACTTGAATTCATGCGAGTTGGAAACGGAAATGGGGTAGCACGCCTGAGCTCTCCAGCGTGTCTACTCAGCACCAGGACGGACCTACTTTCCACAGCTCCTGAGCGACTGCGCCAAGATGCGCTGGGACTTGTGACGTGCAGTGCTGGCCTGCTGTGCGTGTAGCTGTCATTTGGCCCTCAGTGTGTGTGATGGATGTGTGTTAAGTTACAGGAATCCTGACCCTTTTACCCAGCACATGCTGGTTCTTCCATTTTGGCTGGCTTCCACCTCTGCATGGATGAGCTGGTCAGGAGTCCCACTTGCTCTGCCGTGTGAAAGTAGAAGTGCACATATGTGAAATAACTCTAGACGTAGTGCCAGTCCTAGCACCAGATCAAACCTGGAAAAAGCAGCATTTTAATATTCCGAGGTGTAACTTGTTCTGAAAACGGAATTCATTGTTTTTATTGCAGATCGTAATGAAACCTGCCTGTGTTTTAGAACCTTACTCTATTTTCAGGCCTATTTAGAGCACTTGACAGTTAGTGTGGAGAACAGAATGTGGATGTGTATTTAGCCTCCCTTCATTTTCTCTAGCTTTGTTTTCTTAAACAAAACCTCCCTTTATAATCAGTTGATTGGCATGTTCATGTAATTTGTTTCTGAAACTAGGATGTAGCCCCTGAGAAGACATCATTTGTTGATAAAATGAGCCATGTTTTTATAACTTGGAAAACTGTCCATGTTCATGTGAAAACGGGGCTTCCTGGGTCCTCTCCTTTCGCTTTGCTGTGCTGTGGTTCTTATTTTTCATATTTTTTAAATTAGTCTTCAAATAATTCCACTCATGAAAGCTTTTGTTTAATTCTCTTTAGATCTGCTTCATGCTCATTGAAACCAGTTAAATTTTTCTTCATTTACTGGAATTGAATTGCGTTCTGCAGGGAGACTTTTTTGCAGTGCGACATTTTTAGAAGTTAATCTAAGGGCGTGTATGCTCTGGCATTCCAGTGGAGAGGGTTATGGGGCTCATTGTTTAATGGCAACGTCTCTATTGACCGCACAATTGTGCCAGATACCTACTGGTGGAGCACTCCAGGAGGAAGTTTTTTATTGCCGTCAAGTGGACAGACCCTAAGGCCCCTCCCGGTGTGTAGCACATGCGCAGTGCTCATAATTCTTGAATATGCGCAGAATCATAATTCTTGAATATTTGAATTTTTTAAGTCGATGTGACTGCATGTGCGCCGGCCTCGTGCGCGCGCTTGAAAGGGCCTCCCCTCAACGGCCTGCTGAGCACTTCAGCCTCTCTCCACTTATCTTGCTTCTCTACTGATGACCCTTCAGCGCTTCCTAAGCCCTCTACAGAGAAACTTCAGAAATAGAGCTGTTCCCAGCTTAGAGGGGGCTCCATCCCTGTCCAGGGACCTCTGACACGGTCCAGGGTTTGCTCAGCGAGAGAACCAGAACACCAGAGTTGACCACCACACACATGCAGTCACATCATTGACTTAAAAAATTCAAATATTCAAGAATTATGATTCTGCACATATTCATTTTAGGCTAAATGTAAAATTTCACTGTACAGTTGTAGGTAAATGAATACCTCAGTTCATCTTGGAATATGTATTGCTTACTGAAGTTGAAAAGTAACTTACTTTAAAAGTTGAGTCCATTTTATAGAGGATGGTCTCTTTCTGTCAGTAACATAGCTTATTTTTTAACTGTTCTCAGGGGAAGTGCAGAGCACGAAATGAGTAACTCACAGCCGATTTGCAGAGGTGTGCGTGTCTGCATGCCCCCACCCAGTGCGGGGGGTCTGCAGTATCAGAGGAAGTGCCTCTTTCCTTACAAACCACACCCTGGCGGCTTCAGAGCTGCTGTTAGAGTCAGGGAAAGCATATTTGAGCCGGGACATGTAGCACATGTGCTGTGCTGTAGAGTAAAGGAACGGGAGGTAAGTGACTTAAGAAGTTATAGAAGAATAACAAACACAAAGAAGCTAAATATTTTACATTATTCACTAGATTTCTACATGTTTCTTCTAATCGCCTGGGTGGTGACCGTGGAGTCTGGGTCATGTTAGGGACAGTGGTCTCTGCCAGGGTCCTTGGGGAGTGGGAGGGCTCCCATGAGTGTGAGTAGGATTGAGTGTAACTGCTGCTCACACATGCCATGTGCACACTCAGACCTGCCAGACCAGTATACTTGATATCATGTAGTTTCTGTTACCACTGCACCACGTTTCCACACACTCAGTGACTCAAAACAACACAGATGTACTACCTTCCAGTTCATAGGTCAGAAGTCCAAAGCGGGCCCCGCTGGGTTCACGGCGGGGATGGGCAGGGCTGCGTTCTCTGGAGGCTCGAGGGAGAGTGTTCCTGGCTCCTCCGCCCAGAGGCTCCCTCCACACTCCTGTCTGAGAGCCCATCCTGGGATCCTGGCTCCAGCCCAGCCCTGTCCCGGGCCTGTCTCCACGGTCAGACCTCCTGACTCTTGTGCCTCCCTCAGCGCCGTCTAACGGCCTGTGATGATCTTGGGCCCACCAGATCCAAGATGGTTTCATATTTTGAAGTTAGCTGATTAGCAGCCTTAATCCATCTGTACACTTAACTCCCCTTGACCTGTGAGCGCCACCTTTTCACAGGTTCCAGGGATCGGGGTGTGGACCTGATGGGGGCCTGGGGGCCGAGACTGCTGCTTACTCCTTTTTAAAGGATTTTGGGTGGTTCTAATCCAAATTGGAAGAATCAGCCATTGATAACAATATAGAATACAATGGAAGCAAACTTAAGAAAATTAATCAGCTGTTAACCAGTTGAATATTATTAAACTCCAGCATAGATTTAAGGATTAAAGAAGACATTTAAAAAAACACTATAATTTTAGGTTTTTTTGCTGTAATTTAATTTTTCTTACACTAGTATGATTAGATCATGATGTTAACTTAAAAAATACTTTATGATTGTGTCATAAATTCATGAGTTTTTTCCCTTTTTTGATGATCTAGGTCTGTGGTCGGCAAACTGCGGCTCGTGAGCCACATGCGGCTCTTTGGCCCCTTGAGTGTGGCTCTTCCACAAAATACCACAAAATAGCACATGCAGGCGCGCACGTACAGTGCGATTGAAACTTCGTGGCCCATGCGCAGAAGTCGGTATTTTGTGGAAGAACCACATACAAGGGGCCAAAGAGCCGCATGTGCCTCGCGAGCTGCAGTTTGCCGAGCCGCAGTTTGCCGACCACTGATCTAGGTTTTAGTATTTCAAAAACTCTAACCTGCGATGCACTGTGATTAATCAAAGCATTCCAAAATGAATAATAAAGTGAACTGGATACATTAGAATGTGGGGTTCATAGGACTGAGTAGTAAGCACCCTGACAGAAGACAAGATTCAGGGTCTGTTCCTAGTAACACTGGGGGATCCTGAGTTCATCACTAGTCACCTTCAGAGCGTCGCACTGTGGGTAAGGGTTAGGGGTTGGCAAGGGTGTCTAGACCAGTCGATGAGTGGTTGGAGCACGGATCAGTGAAGTATGGTTCAGGTTCTCTGTTGTCAATGTCACCTAACTTTTGATGATGACACATTTGCCTCTTTTCCCTGTAACGTGTCTGGGTGAGTCAGGTCGTAAAGAGGATCTAGTGGGTCAGCCCGCAGGTGGTTAATGTGGCTGGGTGTTCTGTCTTGGTTCACAGCTGACACTTAGCAGCAGAATAGTGAAGACTGGAGGGTGAGGAGGCACCTTAACACCTCACAGGAGGTTCCTTTCTCCTTTTTAAAAATGCGTCATACTGATTCGCACGTTTGCTGCCGGGATTGGAGATCAGAGCGAGCTTTTCGGGGACCACTGGAGGAAGATGGCGGTGGAATCTCGCGTCACCCAGGAGGAAATTAAGAAGGAGCCGGAGAAGCCAGTCGACCGGGAGAAGACGTGCCCGCTGCTGCTGCTGCGCGTCGTCACCACGAACAATGGGTGCCACCACCGCATGGACGAGTTCTCCCGCGGGAACATGCCGTCCAGCGAGCTGCAGATCTACACCTGGATGGATGCCACCTTGAAAGAACTGACTAGTTTAGTAAAAGAAGTCTACCCAGAAGCTAGAAAGAAGGGCACACACTTCAACTTTGCAATTGTTTTTCGGATATTAAAAGACCTGGTCATCGGGTGAAGGAGATTGGCAGCACCATGTCCGGAGAAAGGGGACTGATGATTCCATGACCCTGCAGTCGCAGAAGTTGCAGATAGGAGATTATCTGGACATAGTGATCACCCCTCCGAATCGGGCACCACCTCCTTCAGGGCGCATGAGGCCATATTAAATTTTATTGACTATAAAAAAAAATGCATCATATTTAGTAGCAGAACAAGCTTTCTAATATTTTTTCCATGGTTTAAGTAAATCCCTACGATAGCTTCATGCTTACACATTGAGATACATCAGAGTCTTTCTAATTTTCTTTGCTTGTATATGAAAGTGCTGCTTAGAATCTTTGCCATGTGGCTTGGAAGACCTACTTCCTATTTTTTCATAGGCTTCCGAGTTGAAGAAATCCTCCAACAAGCAGACTACCTCTACGAAAGCGGGGAGACGGAGAGACTCTACCAGTTGCTGATCCAGCACAAGGACAGGTGAGCAGCGAGGCCTGGGCTGCGGCTTCCTCTCCATTGTCGTGGACATTCACACTCGGCCTGAGTCCCGGTGCCAGAAGGTTTCATAGTTCCTAAAGGTTTCTACTCAAAACAGCACTTCTTAGAGTGTCACTTATAGCTCTTTCTTTCTTACATTAAATGATTCCAAAATGCTACATTTTGATTTAGAAAAGGTTGTCCAACTTATTCTAGTACACATTTGAAATACTTTGTCCATTTTGTGATTTTGTTTTGGATCATAAAGGTAAGTTGCTGAATATATGTTTGTCATCCCTATTGTATATTTATCATTTCTTGAAATTAGTGTCTGGTATAAGATTTAAGTGAATTGGGATAGTTGCATGCCTCCACTGGACATTTTGGAAGCACGGGTTTTTAGAGAAACTAAAAATACCTCGTTTTTAAAAAATAGAGTGCCTGTCCTGGCCCGTGTGGCACAGTTGGTTGTCCCAGGCACCAAATGTCGCCTGTTGGATTTCCTGGTCAGGGCACATACCCAGATTGCTGGTTCAGTTCCTGGTGGAGGAGTGTACAGGGGCAACCGATCGATGTTTCTCTCTCTCTCAAATCAATTTTTAAAAATAAAATAAAAAATACAGTACATGTTTAGTCCAGAGTTTCAGTGTATACTTTTTGGGGGGCGGATAGAGGTGGAGTGGATTCAGACTATAAAGTAAGTCAGGGTATTTCCAGGTCATTGATCAACCTCACATCCTTAACTAAAGATAGAGTCACTTTCTACTGCTTGTCTTGGATTCCCAAGACCCTGATCCTTCTACTTCCTAAGTATCTACAGGACCTGTCTCCTTCCACGGTCCCCTCAGCAACTTAAGGTGACTGGTTTGCATTGTACACTGACTTCAGTAATTACTTGAAAAGTAAGCTGTTAGCTGTTACTCCATAGTCATTGAGTTATAAATATGCTATTGCTTCCTGCAGTCTAAAATTCTATTAGTACCATTTTTGTTAACAAATACAGGGTGGGCCCTGGCTGGTGTGGCTCGGTTGGCCGTCGTCCTTTGCACCAAAAAGTTGTGGGTTTGATTCAGAGTCAGAGCACATGCCTGGGTTTTGGGCTTGATTCCTGATAGGAGGCAGCTCTCCATGTTCTGCTCTCACATCAGTGTCTCTCTCTCTCTCTCCCTCTCTCTCTAAAAATAAAAA